TTCACCGACTCATATATATATATTTTTCTCTCTCTTTGTGCGGGGTGCACTTCACCACATACAATGCCACACACATTTATTCATTTGGCAGTCAAAAGTGATGTCGAACTGGAAAGACAGCTTGTCGTGTTTGCGTTGGCGGAGTGCCTTGAGGTTGGAGGTGTGTCTCTGAAGGCCGTTCAGAGCATGTGTGCCCTGTCGTCTTCGAGTTTGGATGCATTGCTGTGATCTTCTGGAGTGTTTTGAGCTTGGAGACAGCCTGTCACCTTTGCGGAGGGCCTTGAGCTTGGAGATGTGTGACAGCATTCCAAATGAGATCTGCCCTGTATGTTGGAAAGGGTGGGAGTGGCCGCTGGGCAATTGGTTGTACTTTTTGTTTTTAATTTTTATTTTTATTATTTTTAAGTTTTAACTGATGTATTATAATTCCTCAGATAAAGAAAACGGCATGCTCTCTGCGGGGGAAAAGAATAGCACCGAAAACTCTTCATTTAAAAACGACGGGATGGACAGTATCCCAAAAAAACGAAGGAAAAAAAAAAGGAGGGTAGCCCACCGTATGCACTTGAATAGAAGGCCCAGTCGCCATGGCGATATGCAGACCGAATGTTGTGCCCGAATGTTGTGCCGAATACAGCTATAATGACAGGGTGTTCTATTCGGGTGAAGACCGTTGGCAATTTATTACTTTGTTTTTTATAGATATGATCATCAAAGTAAAAAAAAAAAAAAAACATGATCGAACTGATCAGCACTAATGCTACTTTCTTCGCCTGTTCTTTGGGTCGAAGATGCTCATCTCCCGTTCCATACCATCGTCATTATCCTCGTCCATGTATGATGCTTCTCGTCCCCTCCCGTCATGTAGTGTGATCATCATGATCAGTGCTGTGGTTCATGGTCCCCTCCTCTGTGCCTCTATCCACACCATCATCTCCCAACCCCATCCTCATTTGGATCATGATCGCCCCTCCCGTGTCTTGTACCTACCATCATCCCTCCTCCCATTCTTGTGTCCTGTCCCCACCATCAGGATTATCATGACGATTCTTCTCCCAGCCCCTCTGTTTTGCAATTTCCTCCTCCTACCCCTTCCCCACGCTTCTCACTGGTCATCATCGCTGCAATGATGACCATCATCATCATCATCATCGTCCTGACCCTCATCGGAAAGTAAAAAAAAAAAAAAAAATAGATCCCTTGAGATGCTCCTCGTCAATGCCCTAATCATCGTCACCATTTCCCTCCCCCTCCGGTGTCTCGTCACCACCGTCACCCTTCCTCTCGAGAGACAGCAACAGAATGCCCGCTCCTTCTCCCGCGCCTTCTCCGCCCGTTCCCGTTTCTCCTGACGCTCCTTCTCCAGCCCCTCCTGCCGCTTCTCCCACCGCTCCTCCTGCCGCTCCTCCTGCTCCTCCTCCCTCGCCTCCTCCCACTCCTCCCGCTGCTCCCACTCCTTTTCCCGCTCCTCCTCCGCCAAACAACGTGACAAAGATCCCGCCATAGCCATCTCCCATGAAAAAAAAAGAAAAAAGGCTCCTGCTCCTTCTCCTGCTCCTCCTCCTGCGCCTCCTCCGCCCCTTCCCGTTCTCCGTCCTGCTCCTTCTCCCGCTCCTCCTCCCACTCCTCCTCCCCCTCCCGCTCGTTCTCCAGCTCCTCCTTCCGCTGCTCCCGCTCCTCCTCCTGCTCCTCCGCCAAACAACGTGACAAAGATCCCCCACTAGCCATCTCCTACGAAAAAAAAAGAAAAAAGGCTCCCGCTCCTTCTCTCGCTCCTCCTCCCGCTCCTCCTCCCTCCCCTTCTCCTGCTCCCCCTCCTGCTGCTCCTCCTGCTCCTCCTGCTCCTCCTCCTCCGGTTGGTTCTCCTGCTCTCTCCCCCGTCCTTCCTCCCGATCCTCCCGCTGCTCCTCCCGGTCCTCCTCCCGCTCCTCCTCCCGCCCCTCCTCCCGCTCCTTCTGCTGCTTCTCCTCCTCTTGTACCTCCTCCCGCTCCTCCTACCTGCCGCGCGTTGATCCGCCTCCGCATGTATGCGGCTCCTTGCGCTCCTCCCACTCGTGCTCCCTCTCCTTCTCAGGCTGCTCCCCCCATGCCTCCTCCGCCCCTTCCCGTTTCCCCTCCTCCTCCTTCTCCCGCTCCTCCCGCTCCTCCTCGCGTTCGTTAACCCCCTCCCCGTTTTCCCTTCCGCTCCTCCTCCCGCTCCTTCTCCCGCCCCTCCTCCCGCACCTCCTCCGCCCCTTCCTGTTTCCCCTCGTGCTCCTTCTCCCGCCCCTCCTCCCACTCCTCCTGGCGCTCCTGCCGCACCTCCTCCTCCCGCTCCTCCTGCCGCACCTCCTCCTCCCGCTCTTTCTCCCGCTGCTCCCCCCCCTTCTCCCGCTCCTCCGCCAAACAACGTGACAAAGATCCCTCCATAGCCATCTCCTACAAAAAAAAAGAAAGAAAAAAAGGCTTCCCCTCCTTCCCCTGCTCCTCCTCCGCCAAACAACCGATGGACCGCCGTTGCATGCTCCTCCTCCCGCTCCTCTCGCTTCTCCCGCTCCTCCTCCCGCTCCTCTTCCGCCAAACAACGTGACAAAGATCGTACGTGCCGGACGAGCCCCCCCGCTCCTTCTCCCGTGGCTCCCGCTCCTCCTCCTCCTCCGCCAGACAACTCCCTCTCCTCCTCCCTCTCCTCCTCCTCCTCCCTCTCCTCCTCCTCCTCCCGCTCCTCCTCCCGGTGCTCCCGCTCCTCTGCCAAACAACTGACGGACCGCCGTTCCACACTCCTCCTGCTCCTCCCGCTGCTCCCGGTCCTCCTCCCATGACAAACATCGTACCAGGCATAGGCCCCGCTTCACACCTGCCAATGGACCGTCCTACCTGCCGGATGTAGGCCCTCTTTGCACCTGCCGACGGACCGCTGTCGCACGAACTTCCCGCCGCCGGCCACAGCCAAGTTTTGGTTCGGCCTGTGCGGTGGGCCCGTCGGTTTCAGTCCGCCCGCCGTCACACCGCCGCCGCCGATTTACCTTGCCCCAGTCCTGTCGTGTTTCCCACCCTTATTCCCTTGCCTCGGGCCTCCACGAAACGCCACGCCCAAGTTCCGTGCGCCGCGGCCTCTGTCGCGCCTGCACTACCACCGCGAAACGGCGCACCCTTATTCCCTTGCCCCGGGCCTCCACGAAACGCGGCGTCCACTTTCCTTGCCCAAGTCCCGCACGCCTCCACACCGATTTTCGCTGGGCCCGGCGGGAGGCGTCACGCTGGGCCTTTGCTTGCTTTATAGAGATAGAGAAGAGAAGTATCTTTCCTTGTTATAGGCGAAGTTTCACACTCTTTTTTTACACGCGTCGTGAGCAGTGGAGCCAGGCCCTAATGTGTGGCGAGCCCCACAATCAGAGGTGGAGGGGAGTTCCTTTCGACCAGCAGCCTTTCAAAAAAAGTCTGACCCCTTGCGGAAAAGCCTTCATTCGAAAGGCTGTGTGGCGAGCCCCACAATCAGAGGAACAGAATAAGATCATTCTGAATTGCTTGGGCCCGGGTCACGCTCCCACTAGCCAAGGGATGAGCCCACATTCCAGAAGTGAGAGAGGGGTGGAGCTCAAAGTGGCCCCCTATTGAGGGCGTACTCAGGGCCTCGGACACACCACTGTCTAAGAGGCTCACCACACAGGCTGTCGAAACTCTGTGTTTCTACAGCTGTCAGGAAAAATTCTTCAAAGTGGCCGCCCATTGAGGGCGTACTCAGGGCCTCGGCCACACCACTGTCTAAGAGGCTCACCACACTGGCTGTCGAAACTCTTTGTGTTTTGACAGCTCTCAGGAAAAATTCAAAAGTCGGCGGTAGACAGTTTACCCCCCCTTCTTTTCTTTTTTCTTTTTTTTTTAATAAAGTCCAGGGTGAAGTAGAGGCCAGTTACTAGGCACACATTTGATTGCCGGGGCGTGGTCAGCTGTGGACGCTCTGAAGCAGCGGGGCCATCACCCCTTCCATCCTTTTTGCGTCAATACTTCTAGCGCATCCCCTATCCCCACTATCCTACCTAAGTGCAACCAGCACTCAGGACCATTACCCTACCAATGAACAGGTAACTTGGACCGAACAGTAGTGACCGGCACCAGGGCTAGCGACCCAGCCCTGGTTGAAGCATAGTTGAACGAACCTCGTCGTACGGGTACTTCGGACGCCAGGCTCAAGCAACTCACGTATTGGCCCCTAAATTGACCAACTAGTAACTCACGCCCTCTACTCTTTCCCACCACACTATATATTTAAGGCGGGGTACTTATCATCGAGACGCCTACTCACGCCCTCTACTCTCTCCCACCACACAGTATATTTCAGGCGGGGTACTGATCAACGAGATGCCTTATCATCATTATCAGTTGATCGCGATCTCCCCCCCAGCCCATGTGTGTATGTGTGTGTGTGTGTGTGTGGTTGTGCCTGTGTGTATATGTACTGTGTATAGATGTGTGCCCGTGGGCCATATGTATGGTTGTATGCTGCTCCCCACCATGGAGCATCTGCGAGGTAAGTACTGAGTACTACTGAGAGGTGCACTCATCACCTTCACTAGTACATGTATGTGTGATGTGTACCTTGAGTATTGTATATATATATATATGTGTGTGTGTGTATGGATTGTGCTATAGTATCGTAGTTGTGCTATCCGGGGTGGTATCTCGGTGTGTGGGTGTATGTGGTAGAGACAGGTCTTATCTGGACAGGACTCCCCCCAAAGTCCGAAACCGGACTCGAACCTGTGACCTACAGTATGAAACTGGAGGGCTCTACCACATGTACTTCCATAGGAAGTAGGTATAATGTGTGTAGTGTCTGGGCTGGGGGAGATCATCAGAGCGACCAAAGCCAACAACAACCAGCAACCAACGTGAAGTCTAGGCCAGCATACAACACCCATGGACTGACCCCTGGGTGGTGCGCAGGCAGTGTCTGTAATAGTACCATGCGTCATCCCAGGGGTGTGTGTGTCCAGCCGTGCGTCATTCTAACGCCCTGCCGGTGTCCACGCGCAAGGCAGCGGAGTTTTGAACCCGCAACCTCATACCACAATGCGCATTTCCAACCGGTGCTCTAACCACGGAGCTACATCAACTGGACAGTTTACCCCCCCTTCACCACACAGGCTGTCGAGGGGCAAGGTTTTTGGTCATGGCCAGGCGGACTCCGCCTTTCGACAGGGCACGGGTGTCACAGAACACTCCCTGCACACCCCCAACAGATTGAAAAGGCGGCGGCGGTTGGCAGCGATATCAGCTGCGCTACTAGCGCTAACTTGCGCTACGGACCGGCCGGCAGGGCCCGGCCGCACTCCGTGGACTGGTGCATAGGTGGAGACGTTGGGCCACCGCTGTACCTGGTCGTCCTGGTGCCCGTCTGGTGCTTTGGCCCAGGCATAGGTGGGGGATATTCCACGTGGCAGCTCGAGGAGACGGCACATCGGCGGGATGGATTTAAGTTGCGACTAATTAAGATGTGGCGCGGCTGATTGGGGAGCAGTTTCTACAGCACAACGAGATACAATAACAGTAGAGTTAAGTAAACAATGGCCTCGACCGTGTTGACATCAACAACGCAGTTGGCGATTGAGGCGGCATTTATGGAGGAGGCTGCTGTTGTTGCCATGTTCGAAGAGGAGGGGACTGTGCTGGAATGGGTGCAGATGCACAGGCAGCAGATGGACGAGATTTATGCGTTGCTTATTCAGCATCAGCACAATATTCCAGCGGATCTTCTGGAGGAGGTGGAGGAGCTATCCGGTGGCTGGGAGGAGGAGCTCCATGAAAGCCTTCCTTCGCAACGGTTGGGTGCCATCGAAAACGCACGGGTGATGATGGAGTTGCGGGGTTGTTCTCAAGTGCTGGGGGAAGTGAAGGGAATCCTTGTACAGCTGAGGGAACGACAGCGGGACGCGGGGGCTGAGGAGGGGCAGGTGCTGCGTTCGTCGTCAGGCTCTTGGAGTGAAGCGGACACTTCCATTTCGGCTGCCTTCCTTATTGAGGAGGTGGTGATTTGCCGCGGGAAGCCTGAGGAGGGGCAGGGAGCTCACGGCGAATTGGACAAGTGTTTGCTTGCTGGCGACGAGGAGTGCTTTCGATCGGAGGAGGGGGCTATTACCATGCGTGAGAACTGCAACAACAACAACAACAACAACAACAACAACAACAACAACAACAACAACAACAACAACAACAGTAACAACAACAACAACAACATCGATAACAAGAAGGCCAACAACAACACCAGCAGCCACGAAGCAGGGATTGTGGGCGCCAGCATAATTGTTGGCCATGTCACTGGCACAGTCGTGCAAATTGCGACTTCGTGTGCGCTAGATTACAATAACAAGAACAACAACAACAGCAACAACACAAATGACATTAACAATATCAACAACGTCGATATGGTAAGTGTGGTGGGGGTTTCCGCAGCGAATTCCGCTCTCTCCCCCTCTCCCTTTTCTCCTCCACTGTCCTATCTCCATTGCAAGCGTGCTGACGATTTGGGGGGAGGGCGAGAGGGCTGTTCGGGTGGTTCGCCCTGCAAATTGGATGGGTGTGGGGGACAGCTGCGGGTGGGATGGGTGCGTGAGGGGGTGGGTTAGATGTTGGGTAGATATTGCATCGCTTTACCTCGCCTGATTGTGGCCACGTGGAACAATCAGTCTTAGCCACGTGCTAACAGTGTGCGAGGCATTTGGGCCTGCGACCGTGAGGTCTGGCTTCTTGTTACGTGGCGGGGATAGGAAGTGCCGGGTGAAGAGGCACTAAGGTTTGACTCAGTTGGATTCCGCCACGTGGCTTCTAGGTTTTCTGTTTTTAGGGAGCCCTGCTCTGATTCCCCCTTCTGCTCACGGTGCTGTATGGTATTTGAATGCTTGATGAGTATTCCAGGGTAGGGCATGAATTCCGGCTTGGGTGGGCAGTCAATCCCCTCTATTGAGGGTAATCAATGCTGTTCACTACTTGCACATATGGTCTGTGTCGACGATAGAAGGATTTTTGTGTATGTAATGGGAGGCCACGTGGTGTACCTGGATTTCGATCTTTGCTGAGCTACCCGGGGGTTATATCCCTGGGGTATAAACACTAGGTTTCATCACGTGGCAGGCAAGACGGTGCACTGGGGGTGACTTCACGGGGAGGTTTTCTGAGTAGGGATATAATCTTTCAAGTGATGTGCAGTCGATCCCTTGGTTGAGGGCAATCGGTGCTGCTCATTAGGCTATCACTGCATGTCTGCGTGTTGGTGCATGTACCTTTTCCGTCTACAGTAGGATTGACACGTGGCATGTTCATATGAACTTTGTCTGTACATAGGGACGCTGGACCCGTTTTCCAGCAGGTGCTGCTCCCCACCAATAGATGGAGCCTCCCCGAGCATGCTAGAGGCGTCTGCTCTTATCAGCGCCCCTAGCATTTACTCGGTTTGTTTCTTGTTAAAAAAAA